GTCTCTCTGACTCAACCTTAGACACACCCAAAGACACAACCATTTCCTAACCAAAGAGAACGAGTCATCTATAGCCCTTGGTAAGGTAGCTCTTAGAAATGGGGTGAGGTAAGGGTAGGTGGGTGGTGGTGGTAAGAAGTGTGCTCTGAGCAAGAGACAGGAAGGGCAAGACTCCATCAGCATGTTAGAGTGCACACTGCTCAAGAGAAGCCTCTGGAGACAGGTCATGCCTAGGCTCCTGGCCAGCTAGCGAACACTCCCTTGGGAGCATTATTCTGGCAATTTTCTATGAGTTTTGACTTAAATTATCCCAAGGAAGGCAAGCACCATTACAGCAGGTATAAGACTTAATACAGAAAAGATAGCTCTACTAATTTAGTACTGTCAACTGAGACCTGTTTCTTTCTCAAATGGGCATGATGATTGGGCAGAAATATTATTAAGGGCCTTTCCAGATCTAAGAATATGTATTATTCAATCGTAAATAAGCTCAAGACAGGCCCAGATACCTCAACAAATAAGCACACAACTTTCCTATGCACAGTGTTGTCCTGCCCATTGTGATTAGAGCTTGCAACCATGAATATAAAACAACGCTAAAGAGAGCATTGTCTCTGCTTCAGTGTCATTCATTCCTGTTTTGTGGTCATATATTGTATTTGAGCCTCTGAGTGCAGATTTTTTTTCCCCACCACTGTGGCTACAGTCGTCCTTTAACTTAGAGAGAAAAGAGGGATGTGTAGGCAAATGTACCAGCATGTGTTGGAGAACAACATATCTGAACAAAAGAATTTCAAAGAGGAAAATGAAATATCCCACTTCAAAACTTTACAGAAGTACTTATCAAAGACCTGGAACAAACCCACAATAACTGGCTGAACTCCTAAACACTTACTAAACTATCGATAGTTTGCACCAGGAATGAACTTATTTCCCAAACCTATGTACCAAACAATTAAGAGTGAAGAGTCTTTAAGTATTCTCTGAACTCCCCTCTGCACACGATTCAGCAACGAACTATCTCATGTTCAATTCATTGTCTATCAGGCATTTTAAACTGCTGTAGAAGAAATCTTCCCCAATACTATTCTCCATCACCTTTATGATCCTGAAATCCTGGATTCCACTGTTGCTGCCACTTTTCCCACTTTATGCCCTTTGATAATCTAAACAAGTCTCTTCTTGGAGTTGCCTTGGGTTCCAAGGTAGTTAGGAGCCCACTGACACCCTGAAACTTTTTTCAACTAATGCGGTTCTCCAGACTGATACCTTCCCTTTCCTCTCCCCATATCCTTGTCTCTCAATCCAGAGAAGGCTGCTAACTTCAGGCTAGAAAAAGGCCGGGGGCCTTCTAATAGTAGTAGTCAGCTGCGATGGAATTCCTAGGTTTTCCCCAGCAGTAAAACATTGGCCTTAGCTAGAAGTTGGTTGAACCTAAAGCCCTGGTAATTCAGATCCCACTCGCAAGGTGGCCTTGAAAGTCACTTCCCCTTCTGGATTTGCTGCTCCCTTTTACAAATGAAGATGACTACTTAGCTCATTTCTGAGGTCCCTTCTGCCTCCCATAGTATATGGCAGTATGTGATTTTGGGGAGGTAGGAACTAGCTGAGAGAAAATGCCAGGGCATTATCAGGCTAACCCTTTAATATTGATACTAATTACAGGCCTTGGAGGAGTGACTGACTCCCCAGAGCTAGGGTAGCTTTGGTTGATGCTTCCCCTTTCTTAGTAAAATGCCCTGAAGTGCAGAGACTGGCCTTGGGGAGAGGCGGAAGGGTGGAACTCTAAAAGGATGAGGAAATATCTTAGAGCAGCTGGTTATTCTTCCCCTTATCCGGCCCTCTCTCCCTCATCTCCCTCCCTCTGGGCAGGCAGGTAGATGACTCAGCTGGAGAAGAGTAGCTTCCTGCTTGCCTAGAGGTCCCCCAACTACCAGTTCCAGATAGGAATCCAGATTATTCCATAACTCAATACCCTCTCCTATCACTCACTTCACCTCACTACACACACACACACATGCACACACACATTTCATCCTTTGTCTTTACTGCTGGCCCCTTTATGGAAAACACAGCTTCCCCCTGACACTAATCACCTCCCCCACAATTCCAACTTGTTTTTTATCCATTTAGATGTGTCCCCCAAACTTGAAACAGCCATGACTTTTCTGGTGGGAATGAAAAGAGGGACACTATTACCTGGCTGGGGCTCTTTCAGGCCCTGAGCTAGAGCTCCCTGGCTCTCCCACTGTCAAGGCTCTCCTCACTGAGGCACTCTGCCGCATCCCTGAATCAGTCAAGGGATATCCATATCCCTGAATCAGTCAAGGGATATCCACGAAAAACTTAGAGCTTGGCCTTTCTCTTTCAGCCGGGCTTGGCCCTATAGATAAAAGGTGTCCCCTGAAGGTAAGGTGAAGCTGTTGCAGATATACTTTGCATTTAGTACAGATATCGGAGAAGAGCACAAGGAAACTGATAGGAGGGAAAAACACCTTGATTGGGTATCAGAGAAGATTGGGGTTGAGTCTTAACTACTTACTAACATTAAACAAACTTTATGAGTTTCAGTTTCCACATTTCTAAAGTAGTAATACTAGTCCTTCCTGCCCAGCCTCCTTCACAGATATAATAAGTTTCAAATGACCTGAAATACTTGTTTTAAGTGCCACACAAAGTGAGCTATCGATATTCATTAAGTTATAGAACAGTGGTCGCCAACCTTTAAACTTCATGGACCACCACCAGTGGCCTTCGGACCACAGGTTGATGATCGTTGATCCAAAGATGTCCTTAAACCAGTGCTCACCAACCTTTCGGACCTCATGGACCACACCAGTTGGTGACCTTTCTAGAAAATGTGCAACTGAGGCAGCTGCCAAAGTAAAAGGATGCATTTGGGAGGATAGGAGGGGTGAGGTGTTAAGACTTCTCTCAGAGGACAATCTTTAAGCAATTCCAATCCTCAGCTTCCAAACAAGCCACTGAGGCACACTGCCTTACTCCCTGCCTGGTAAGTTCAGAACACTCAAAGGGGGACCAATGAGCCATAGTCTCAGGGTTTCTGGATTCATCCCCACTCCCTTGTTGGAAGAAAAAAGTACTCACTAGTGGCAGGTCATGCTCCAGGACCCATGGGCACCCCTTCCTCATTGAGTTACAACAGCAGCTGGGCCAGTGCAGCCTCCCCTTAGTCCTTGTTGGGGCTGGCTGGGCCTGCTAGGGTTTTATGCTAGAAACAGGCCATGATCTAAGATGGAACCAAGACAATATCCCTCTCCACTGTGAGCTAAGTTGTGATGGAAAAGTGCTCTGAGCCTGGTTCTAGAGCTTGCTTTGCTACTGATTAGCAGTCACTTCCCCATGTGAAGCCTCAATTTCCTCATAAGCCATGGGGGGGAGGAACAAGAATCATATTATTGCTCTACCTACACCACAGGGTGTTATGAACACTTGAAGAACACTTGAAGGAATAGGTCAATGTACTTTTGTACAAGATTGAGGAAATGCTACCTGCTGAAACAGACATTCACTCTACACCAACAGAAAAGTAAATCCCCTAGCAATCACCAGTTAGGGAAGAAAAGCCTCAACTACTTCAGCCACATGGCATGTTCTGTTCTGTTCTCACTGTACCAAGGCTCATCTAGTCACCCCTTGAGTTACAAGATCACTTTACCTTTACATTTCCATCAATTTCACAAGTTGGGAGCAGAAAGCAGAGATAAATAGCAACCCAAATGTAATTTGTGATAGTTCTAGGATCGTCCAAAACTATCACCACCTGCTACCACTTGTAGAAATTTAGAGTGGAGAGGCGATTTAGATCACTCTCGACTTTCAAGCTCCAACTCAGTGCTTGTTTTAGAAGCCCCGGGCTGGCAGAGCCTCAGACAGATGAGGACCAGAACTGGCAGGTCACAGTAAGAGTAATAAAGCCCCGACTCACCTGGAACAAGAGGCAGTGATCGTCTCCAAAAGGGGAATGGGGTAGAGACTGAAGGGCTCCCCTTTCCTCATGTGATTCCCAGTCACAAAGTGAACTTCCTCTAGTGGAGCTAGTTATCTGGCTTTATATTGGGAAACTAGTTTGTATCTCTTTACCCTAATATTCCTTAAAGTATGGAGGAGGGAGGATGCATGCCTGAGAGGTGGCAAGAGAGGAAGCATGTATCAGAGAAAGTTATTATTAAAATGTTTCATTTAGCAGTCACAAGTACTGAGGTAAATGACCCCAGAAAATACATTGCAGGCTTGCAAGAAAATAGGAACTTCCCAAAGGCTAGCTTAAGACCCAGGTGTTTCTGAGACCTCTATTACACTTCTATCTGCCCCACCTCTGATCATGAGCTTCTCAGAGAACAGGGATGCAGGCAATTTGCTGCTGAAAGGATACCAAATTGCTAGCACCTGTGACAACACACACTACTTCTGAACCTAAGCATCTTAATCATCAAAACAAATTCAGAAAAATGGTATTATAGAAAATGCACAAGCCAAGGAGTCCCAAGGCATAGATTTAAGTCTTAGCACTGCCAATTATGAGCTGTGTGACCTTAGCCAAGACATTTCATCTCTCTCTGGGCCTTCATCTTATAAAATGCAAACTATCATCTACCCTTGCAGGATTTTCTAGAAATTAATAGATGTGAAAATACATTATGAATATCTTAAATTAATCTCTCTGGTTCTATACCTATCCTTCCAAAAACGTAAGTTTTTTTTTGGAAAAGAACTCTGCTTACTTATTAAGTATGCTGAGTGCTTTCCTAAGTAAATCTTGGACTACCACAGGCTATTACAGCTTCAGGATCCCGAAAGCACATGAGCTTGACTGCAGTCTGTTTCTGGTATTTAAACTGTCTTATGTTCTTGTTTATCCTAAGAAATCCCTCTTGCCTTGCAGATTACATGAAAGAATCTGCGTGCAGTTCTAGCACTTGTTCCTTGAACAGCAGTGAAAACCCTTATGCCACAATTAAGGACCCACCCATCCTCACCTGCAAGCTTCCAGAAAGCAGCTATGTAGAAATGAAGTCGCCTGTGCACAGGGGGTCTCCGTACACAGATGTGCCATCCTTGTCGACATCTAATAAAAATATATATGAAGTTGGTAGGTGTCTCAAATAAGTAACTTAGCGAAATCAGGGCAATAGTGCAGCATCTGAAATAAAAACAATCCCTCTCTACTCACCCTGTCTTGAAAACACACCTTTTTTTTCGTTGCTTTTTAAGGAATCCAAGGCAAACTGCCTCCCCTGGGGACTACCCTCCTCTCTCATGCAGGAAATCAAATTCTTGTGCCAACTCTGCTTTAAAAAAACAACATACCAGGACTAGTATGAAGCAGAAATACTGGAGGTGGGGAAGTGGATACACACACACACACCTCAACTGATTGTTGATACAAATCCCAGTTTAAAAAAGAAAACAATCAGAACAGAATATTTATTAACTTCCTAAATCACCACCTTCTATTTTCTCCCAGTTTAACCCATGTCCCTAGGCTCAGGGCTAAGAATAGCAGTGAAAACCTTACGTCACCTTTAAGGACCCACCCATTCTAAATATTTAAGATATTCTAAATCTCTTCCGCTTTGATCAAGCTTTGGATGGGTTTCTGCCTGCATGCTCACTGAAGTTTTCCATCTCTTAGCATTATTCCTAATCCTCATATTTATCACAGGTTTATAAATCCCTAGCTTCTCTCACCACCCAGTTGAATAGAACTCTCTTCCACCCAGCATGACAACCAAAGCTAATCTGTTCTCTGCACTCATTTTTCACTATATTCCTTAGAGCCCACAATCAGTGTGGTCCAAGAAGGCCGTGGTCCCAACTCCAGCTATATCCAGAATCCATACGACCTACCTAGGAACAGCCATATTCCTGGTCATTATGACCTCCTCCCAGAAAGACAGAGCCCTGCCAATGAGCCCTCCCAGGACAAGCAGTCTTAAGAGGGATAAGCTTCTCTCTTGCAATGTGCTCTACAGAATATTCTCTGACTCTGAAAGAAGACAATTCCCTGACTTGAAATAATGGTACAGACTGACTTCAGCTGTGTGTTAGTTATTACTTTCACCTGGAACTAAAGAAGAGCTTCCAAGTGGGACTGGGGTAATTGCTCAAAAGGTCTGTTTGCAAAGGTAAATCCTATCACTCATCCAACCCCCAACTCCAAAAGACCTGGATTACATGATCTTTTAAAACACTTAGGATACAGCTACTCATCAACATCAGCTAAATACAGCTAATTATATATATTTAATTATCTGAAACATGATGCTTAAAGAACATGTAGAATAGGTTTTATAAACCTTCCTAAGAGGAAAGAGGGACTGGGGAGGGGAGATGATTCATTTAAAATATCTGAAATGTATGTGTACTTTTGGTTGCTGTTACTATCAACATCTGTTTGATTACCTAAGATAATCAGTACATAGACAAAAACTGTGCTAATATCAATCCTTAAGTACCTACACATATATGTCTGGTCTGTCAAATTACAATGGCCAAGATTACAGATTATTTTGTGGTCTAATGCTAACAACTTCAATCTTTTAAAATAAGATTTAAATAAATACAAATTATGTGTAGCACTGAACCTGGCTTAATGTCTCAGATGAGAAATTAGAATCCATACTTCTCTTACTAGCACCAAGTATATCAGGATGCTCAAGAACCTGCATTTTGCTATCTAAAATAGTATTATCTTCCATGGTAATAGATGAAGCCTTTCTCTAAAAGTCAATTTCAGTTTAAAGAACATTTTAAGAATGAACCAGAGTTTTTGAGTTCAGCTATCTGTAACCAATAAAACTGAAAGCTAAGTAATAATAATGATAATAATACATAAATACAAATTAAACTTCCCTCTTCTGCCCTTGCTGGTAGTAGAAGAAAAAAAATGTTTTCAAAGCTCATTAACCTCTTTCAGTCTACAACAATAATTCTGGCCGGTTTTGACCAAATCTTGCCAATTCCAAGTTCCAGAACATTGCCAACTCAACCCTGGCCTTATCATATCTCCTTGGTCACCCAACACCTGAATCAGTCCATGGGAAATAAAACTGTGATGCTTCAAGCAAGCAGTCACAGACTGATAAGAATTAAGTATCCCTAAAAATGGCTATTTGGCCTCTCATCAAGTTTATTTGGTTGGCATTTCTTGACTCAAAAAAGTACTTATTTTCAAGCATTTCTTCATAAATCTTGAGCTGGATATAATATGGCACGAAAAGTGTAGAGCAGGGGTAGGGAACTCTTTTTCTGCCAAGGGCCATTTGGATATTTATAATATCATTTGAGGCCATACTAAATTATCAAGTTGAAATTAGCCTGTTATATTTGGTCAAACATTTAATTAACTGACCACTAATGCCTAGGCAGGGCCAGAACAAATGATTTCTCAGGCCTTATACGGCCTGCAAGTCAGACGTTCCTCACCCCTGGTATAGAGGAAATTAAACAAAAGAGGATATATCAAGTTAAAATTGCTTAAAGTACATTATGCTATTTGATGGCACTAAATTGAAATGATCAAAGAATGTACTATAATCAGTTGCTGTAACATGATGTAAAAACTTTATAGTAAATAGCACGTAAGGACATGAAGAACTTCTACTTTCTACCTTAAACCCACTATCTGCTGAGATGGCCAAAACTGAATTACAATGAGCTAATGCTCCAGATCCCAGTATTCAGACGTGTCTATATACCTTCCATTACTAATGAACATATAATAGGTAAATGGGCTCAGATGAGTCTAAATGGAGTCATTTCCCAAACCCTTAAGAGGACCTCCTCATAAGAATTAAAGACTGAAAGGGCAAACCTTGAAAACTAACGCACACCCCTATAGTACTCTATTCTCTGGTAACTGTTCTGCCTGGAAACATACTTCCAAAAGGTATACAGAAGAGGAAGTACATGACTGCAAACCTGGAATAGCTGCTACAGGAAGTGTGGGAGTTCTGAAGTCCTTGATACAAATTGGAAGTCTGCCATGGAACCCATTAGTTTGGCCAATAATCAGCAAAAGCAAGGACAAAAATGAGTAATCCCCCTCCCCCACTTCACTCAAGGCTTAAGCAAATGTTAGGGGAAAATAATCTAATACTTACATGAATGCTGCATGTGTGCATGGGAGCAAGCAATCAGTACTAGCAAATTTACTTTCCAAAAAGTCTTATTAAATATAAATACTAGAAAATTACTTTGTAGATCCAAGTAAATATTTCTCATACATATGTAGAAAGAAATATAGATAAGAGGCTTACCTCAGTATTTCAGGGCAGCAAGTGCTCAATTTCCTTTGTGAAGCAAGAACTAAGTATATGGTGAAGTCAGATCAGCAAGAACTTCATCTCAATCCCAGGTTTTACCTTCTTCCCTTACCCTGCATGTACAGTAACTGCTGCCTGGCAAACTGCAAACAAGCACTATCACTTAAGTTTCAAGTTTCACCTCTTTTATGCCAATTATCTTTTAGGCAAATTTCAGCAAGAGGTGGAATGGTGGAATTGCTAAAACACTGGATCAAGAGATTTGAGTATTACTTGCCTTCTTTGGGCTTTTACCCCCCTGTGTGTAAAAAAAAGGAAAAAGCAAATAGGGGTAAGGGAACCCTAAAACCCTTAAACTCTAGCATTCTGATTTTTAAGGAAATGTACCACAAATTAAATCAGGCAATACAGGAAAAGGGAAAGACAGAGGGTGTGATTACTTGATGGTGACAATTGTCTTCACATATCTAAGAGTTATTGGTAAGAGACATTTCAATCTTACAGAACAACTGTTAGGAACTTCTGTCTAGCACTGTCACAAATAAGTTCATGGTCAACCTAAACATGTGCACTGTGCATTTTATTTACAAGTTGGAAAGATATGTTCAAGTATTATACAGAAACTAAGTTTTCACTCAAAGTGATGTGCATATAATTCAAATAAAGAAAACAATCATTGTACAACAGCATAAGTAAGACTGAAATGGCAATACTTTTTTTAAGCAACCCAGACTTGTAATATATTTGTTCACTGTGCAGAGGAATTATACCTTGTACAAAATAAAATTAATTTCTCAAACTAATTTATAGGAATGCCTACTGTTGTGCTGCAAACCAAAAATGTGTCTAAAATCTACACCTTAGGTTTAAATGTAAAACAAACCTACATTTAAAACAGAGTCTCTTCCTTTAAAATAATGAATGGAAGCTACATATTTTTAATTCATATCCAAAAATTACTGAAATAGCTCATAAGCATTAGTATACTCAAATAGAGAATTTCTGTTTTCACAAAAATTTGAACTCAAAGGCAACTATTACAGCTTGTGCTCAGCTTCAGAGGCACAAAGGTAGTTCTATGGCAGTGGTCACCAACCTTTCGGACCTCACTGTTGGAGACTACTGTTCTATGGAATGGGAATAAAGGCAAATATAAGGGCCACCTAATTTGCATAAGAGTAATAAATAGCTTTCCATTAGAAGTTATCACCCAGTACTGCACTCTGGGATGCAACTATTTTAGGACCTTTTAAAACATAACCTTGTGACCTAACTAGTAAAGAAGCAGCAGGATTAATTTTTATTATAAAATATAGATGCTAAAAAAAATAGCTTATTGAATGTATTTAATGGTATAAGTTGAAAATTCCTCCTTCAGACTTTCAAAGGTTTGTACATACCTAAGTCAAAACATTTCAAATGGTCTGTTTACAAGGCTTATGTGATATTCAAAAAGTACTCCCATTTAATAAAATGTTTAACCAAGAATACATTTTTGCTAGTTTGAGATTAAAACTTGTTCAGAAAAGACCCTCCTCTCCTAACAATGAACAACTCTCAAGGGCTGGATCTTAATAAAATAATTAAAAATTTAAGGCTAAAAGGGGCATTTAGTGAGAACAATAGTGTAAGATTATGACTTAGAAGGCTCAGAATACCACCCAACACCGTAAATATTAAACAAAGGCTACAGGTTTTATACTCAACAGAAGATTCAAGAATGATGCACTCTATTGCCATTCATCTAGTATATGGCAAAAGAGGAGATGGAACATCTTTCTTAGAAGGGATGGGTGGACACA